AAAAAAAAAAAAAAAAAAACCGACGATGGACAAATGTGTAGAAGGAAGTTTAATTTCTCTCTTAGATTAATTGGTGAAATAATATTTGATCAATGTAAACATATATCGTTTGGTTCACAGGCTTGATAATATGCCCTTCGAGAGAATTGGCTAAACAAACTTACAACATACTTCAACACTACACCAATAGCTTACAGCAAGCAGACTGTCCGAAGATCCGTAGCTGCTTGGCTATTGGAAGTATACCGGTTTCAGAGTCATTAGCGATAATTAACAAGTTAGTATTAGTATAGTCTACGAACTATTCAGAGCACTTCATATAATAATTTGTAACTTATGCTCTATATAATTTACAGAGGAATACACATAATGGTGGCGACGCCAGGGCGACTGATGGACATGTTGCATAAGAAGATGATCATCTTGAGTGTGTATCGTTACATTTGCGACGAAGCGGATCGTATGATAGACATAGGCTTTGAGGAGGACGTGCAAACGATATTTTCATTTAGAGTAATTATACCTTGCAACCTTGTACCTTGGGTACCCCCTTGTACCCCCGTCGCGAATTTCACGCAAAAAAACGTCACTATTATTAAGATAATATACATTATTCAATATTTGTTTCTTATTATAGGGTCAAAGGTAGACACAATTGTTCTCTGCTACCATGCCGAAAAGGATTCAGAAATTCGCCCGTTCGGCGTTGGTGAAGCGTGTAACGATAAACCTCGGACGTGCCGGCGCCGTTTCGATGAACATGATACAGGAAATTGAATAAACAAGAGGCAAAAATTGTCTACCTCCTTGAATGCCTTTAAAAAACTGCACCACCAGTGCTAATATTCGCGGAGAAGAAACGCGACGTGGATGCTATGCACAAATATCTGCTGATAAAAGGAGTGGAAGCTGTTGCAATATATGGAGGCATCGGTACGTTTATTTCAAAACATTAGGACTGCTAATAAATTATATTAGCATTACGGAGTTAAAACATCATATAGATAAATTAAATCTGTAGTATTGAATTTATTTTGTCATTTATTCTATTATGTGCAATACTTACAAACATTGTCACTTACAGATCAGGAGGAAAGATGGTGTTCCGTCTAAACGTTTCACGCAGCTCGGAAAAATGTTTTGGTTACGATGGATGTTTCGTCCAAAGATCTCGATTTTGCTGATGTGAAACACGTAATTAATTACGATATGTCGGATGATGTGGAGAATTACGACAATATTATCGTGATCTATCGTACAATTTAGATTATCGTATTAGAAGAATTCAATGTATTGTATCTCTCTTAATATAGTTCATCCTCGATTTCATCGAAGATATGCGCTCGCGAAAATGAGCAAGCATATCGCGTTATTATACTAAAAAATCTGTATATATGTTTTATATTTGTACAAAATAAAATTTATATTGTCTACTCACAAATACCAATTTTAACTTATTTTAACGTATAACAATTCCAACCTAACCTAATCTAACGACCGAGGTTATATACGCCATGCGCGCCATTTAAAGCGATCAGCTGATTTAGTGCAACTGTTGTTGCCAATTTGCTGCCAATTTGCGCTCTACTGTTGAGTTCAAGACGCTGCTCCGGTGTTGCCGCCAACTTACTGCCAACCTATGCGCGCAACGTTTGCGCGCTGTTTGCTGCAAATTTGCATCAAACTCTTGACGTCAACGTTTGCCGCGTATTTTACCGCAGTTTGACACCAACATTTGATATAACAAATGTTGCTTCAAATTTGGTGCCTATTTGCGACCAACAGTTGAGATCAAGCTTTACTCGAAAGTTGATCGCGCAGGCTTGGCTATCGGGGATACAACCAAGATTACGATATTACAATGAATATAATGCGAGTTTACATGAAAATAAATCGAAAATTAAAGTATTTGTTTTGAAGAAAATTAGACTTTAATGAATAAAGAATTTAAAGAATAGAAAAAATAAAATAAAGATAATAGAAGAAATAAAAATATTTCTTAGAATTATGTTTCATATTTTATGTTTGTCTTGGTCCATATATATATATAACATATACTATTTGTAGAAATTTATGTATTAATATAAAAATAATATTAGGTCCCACAAATAAAACTATAAACGAGAAATATACAGGGTGAGTCATTTTAGTCTATGGATCCGAATATCTTCCAAATTACGGTATCTACAAAAAAATGGTTTAGATAAAAGTTGACCAGGACAGAGGGGATCATTCAATTGTACCATTGGTTTTGACCTTGAGGTCAATTTTGAAGGTTACTTCAAGGTCACGATGGTTTTTTCTAATGGGACACCCTATTTTTGACTGCGGATTTCGAAAGAGCGGAAAATTTTACATCAAACTTGTCTTATGAAAAAATTGTTTTTGCGACCTTGGAAAGGT